TTTATAATAGTGGATTGTTTACAAAGTTCATAACTTTTCAAAGTTCATAAACATCGTGTTTCACACTATTATTCATTCACATTGTGTTTCATACAATCATTCTCATGTATTATGTGTTATGAGATTAATCACCAGTGGGGCTTACTTATAATTACCCTGTCTTTTCACCCAGATCCTTCCCATTTCCTTCCCCACATTCCACCCACTAAACTGTGTAATCCTATGGTTTCAGTCTTATATGAAATAGAAATCATTGCTTGCAGTCCAGTAGACTCCTATTCATGGTGACTTGATGCTTTAATCTTCCTGTTTTGCCAGTTCTTGAGCTGGAATGGCAAGTGACACATCACACAAGTGACTTCTTCCTGTCACCCAGAGCCCTCAGGTGTGCCTCTCAGTCGATCTGCTTTTAACTGTGACATCTGTCCGTGGTTACTGACACTGCAGCAGCACTTAGATGTCACATTGGATAAAGAGAAAAGGAAAATTTAGTATTGCAGACATTTCTCATTGAGCACTCTCTTTTGCAAGGAGGTAAACCAGTGAGTAAGTTTGCAGGATCTGGGTTCAGAACTGCTGTGTGCATACAAGTTGTAGCCCTCCCTCTGTTAGTCGTGTAATCATTACTTAGACTTAATGCACTCCAGGGGCATCCCCTGTAAAATTGTGTCAAGAGAAACTAAATCAGTAATGAAATTAATCTTCTAAGTGAGGTTTATGTGGCAGAAAAGTTGAGAATCAGGTAGCAACAATTCATTTGTGGAAAGATTCTACAGACTATCAGCAGTGGCTAACTTTTTCCATTAAACCAGCGTGGAAGGAAAGAAACATTGCTGATTGGCTTATAGAATTTATTAATGAAGCCGTGTTAGAATCTCATTGGTCAACGAGAGTAGCCTGATTTTTCTGAAACTTGAACTTGAGTAAAGACCAGTCTTTGGGGAGCTGTCTGGTTGACTGCTGGTGCCACTCTGTCAATCAATTTCATTTAACCATTGCGAAAATGGTTGATCTTCCTTTTTGGGGGTTGTTGTAAGGATGATTTGAGATCCTTCAGATAATTGCTGTTGTTAATTGCCATATATTTATATTCATGGAGACCCTTGTGTACAAAACACAACTCTCAATTTTAAGGCTTGACTTTTAGGAAGTAGTCTGCCACCTCTTTCTTCTGAGGCACCTCTGAGTGGATTTGAATTGTTCACCTTCCTACTAAAAGTCAAATGATTTGCACCACCAAGAGACTCTACTCCCCGTAGCATTAAAGAGATTTTATCTATTGTTACTTTTACTGTGGTAGATTCTAGTGATAAAAGAGTATTTCTAGTTACTTCATTGAGTTTGTAGTCTGGTTGAGGATGTGGATGCTAATTGCATAACTGTACAAATATGAAATTACACATTGGAGGAACTGGTCTCATGTGAGGGAGCAAAGAAGGCTTCCCCGAGAAAAGCTGACTTGCATATGGTCAGAGTGATGTCTGCCTCTACTAGGTGAAAAGGGGGCAGGCAGAGTACTCTATAGTCCTTATAGATGAGCTGTTCCAAAGGCCCTGTGGTTGGAGGCTACATGGAAGCTTTGGACACTTAATAGGCAGGAGACCAGTTTCTTGGTTGTGAGAAACAAGTAGAAGACTAGAACTAAATGCGGAATTTTGTGAGATAGGTTTTGGATAGGCTTTCACATGATGATGATAATGCTAGCCTGGGTCTCTAGCTTTTCTTTGGGTCCACCTTGCAGAAGGAGCATTTTTATTTCCTGGAAGTAACCTTACACTAGCTTGTCTCTGATTTTACTCTAATGACAATTGGATGAAAATGCATCTCTCAGTGTTGACAGCATCATATCAGCATTTCATGGATGGTTCTGAAAACTCATGCCTGATTTAGGAGCCTGGCATTTCTTCTAGTTAGTTCTGTGACCTTGGGAAAGGTCCTAAACATGACATTTTCCTTTTCCATTACTGTAAAGTTATTTAGCTTAAATGAAAATAATTGCATGTATTAGATGTTCAGTACACAATAGATCCCCCAAGAAATGATAGCCTATCCTGTTCTCCCTATTATATGCACCTTTTCTTTTTCTTACCACTGTGGGGACTATGTGATTTGTCAAAATAATCCAGATTCCAATTGATAGGTTAATATGAATGATATTCCTAAATTGATATAGAAGAAAGTTTTCCATTCATCCATTCTTCTGGACATCCAGTCATATAGCTAACCAGCTCTTTAACCAAGCATCCAGCATTACATGGACAGAGGGTGTGGTGATATAGGGGTATAATTCTTCTTTGTCATGAAGGAGACCTAGGTTTGCTTCTCTGTCAACCAATCCCATCCCTGTTGAGTCAATTCTGACTCACAAGCAATCCTGTAGTACGAAGGAGACTAGCCCAGTAGGGATTTCAAGGCAGTACATTTCCCCAGAAGCAGACTGCCACATCTTTCTCCTGTGAAGAAACTGGTGGGTTTGAATCTCCAACCTTCCAGTTGGCAGCCAAATACTTTAACCACCACACCAGAATTCCTTGACCCCCAGCCAGTATGCCTTGTGCACAGGCACCACCTCTCTTTCCAGTGAAGGCTAATGGTTGCTGCGGTCAGGAACAAGTTTTGTAGAATGTCTAGATTAAGTTAAACTGGGAGAAAAGGTCGGGTGGTCTGCTGTTCTTGTGTACCATCGAGTCAGAACCAACCCATAGATGACCTCCTGGTGGGTTTTCAGAGGTAGTTAATCGCAAGGGAGGAGACTGCCCGTTTTTCAGATCTACTTCTGAAAAATCAGCCAGTGAAAACCTTTGAAGCATCATGGTCAGATCTTCCTGTGCAGAGAGTTGTATTTTTTTGTTGTTTTGGTTTTTTTTGCGGGGTTGGTTCCTACCCCCCATTTTTGTTTTTTGGGTTTTTTTCCCCTTGTTGTGTACCATCAAATTGGGTCCAACTGGCACAGGAGGAGATTGCCCCTCCTTTTCCAGCAAAACTTCTGGTGAGTTCAAACTGCACGCCTTTGGGATTGCAGTGCAGCTTCTTGCCTTTAGGCCACCAGAGCTCCAAGAGTTGTAATTTTGGCAGCCTGATCCCTGTCTCAGACATTTCAGTTTCTCCTAAAACCTCTGACAACATTTCACATGTTGTTGTGCGTACCACAGAATCAGAAACAGCCCATACCTGACACTCTGGCAGGTGTTCAGAGGAACTTAATTGCGCGGGAAGAGATTGATTGCTCATCTTTCTCCCGTGGAGCAGCTGGTGGAGTCAGACCACTGCCTTTGGGATTGCAGCACAGCTTCTTGCCACTAGGCCACCAGAATTCATTTTACATAGCTTTAAAGATGTGATTGATTCATTGATTGTGTACTGGCGTGAATTGGAAGAGCCTTTCTCCCAGCCAATAGATGACTTTCTGCGACTACTTTCAGGCTAAGAACCATGAGTATTTATTCTGAGCTGACATCATCGGCAGACTGGAAAACTGATAAGGTCATCAGACTGGCTTTCCATGTTGGACTGGAAGCAAAGTGCATCTCTCCCTGTACTTCCTTCCATGTGTAATAAAGTAACAGTGAGATCCCCATGGTCAAGGACATACTAATGTTCCTTCACCCTTGAAATTTGAAGCTTATCTGAGTTGTGGGGCCATTTTCCAGTTTCTGCCTCAGTGACATGCGCAGTGTAGTCCTTGAATGGCACAAATGGTCAACATGCTGGGTAACTAACCAAAAGGTTGGGTATTCAAGGCCACTCAAAGACACCTTGGGAGGAGAAGGCCTGTGGGGATCCACGGCTAGACATCAGCCCTTGAGAATTTCATGGAGCAGCGTTCTGCTCTGAAGCCCATGGAGTCACCATGAATCACAATCATATTGATAGCAACTGGCTTGATTTAAAAAAAAATTAGTTTATTGCATGTGACAAAAGGACTTTTGGGTGGTGTCTCACAGCCTGTAAATACTGAATCAAAGTATTTTTGACCTCTGAAATTCTTAAGGTACATTATCTGTTAAGTTATTGGAGTTTGAACTCCAATGTAGATAAGCAGTGTTTTGAATTGCTGGGGTGTATGTCTGTGTGTGCTTCCTGCCAGCTTGCCCATGTGTCCATGTCTTGTATAAATGTGCACAGTTGTGGGTGACTTCACACTCAAAATTGTATGGAAATTGAGAGGTATTTGCAGCCTGAACTTCACCTATCCTATTTGCCTATTTGCAAAATATGGTAACAGCCTTAGGCTCTTGGCTCGTAGGAGATGCCAGTTCTTTGGGGTCTGAAAGACAGGCAGTCTCTTTCCTTAAGATTAACGGCCTCTGAAGACCCACCAGAGAGTCTGCTATGGGTCGGTTCTGACTCAGTGGTACACAACAACAACAACAATAACAGGTCACTAGACATTTTATCCCAGTATAACTTAATCTAGATGTTCTACTGAAATGTGTTCTTTTTTAAAAAAAAATTATTATTTTGTGTGTGTGTACCATCAAATCGGATCTGACTGGTACAGGAGAGATTGTCCCTCCTCCAGCAGAAACTTGTTCTTAACTTGTCCTGCAGTTAACCTCAGCTTCAGGTTACCGACTTAGTGAAATAAAGAATGTAAGTGGCAGAAGAATGAACTCACCAGCATCATTTTACTTCATCTCACTGGTATGGGAATTGTGGTTTCCTGGTTTGCAGTTAGAGAAGAGCCAGCTGACTTTGAGATTCTTGATTCTCTCTTTATCTCTATCTGTCTGTCTATCTATTTTTATATCTATCTATCTATCTATCTATCTATCTATCTATCTATCTATCTATCATCAATCATCTTTTTTTCTTTTCAAGGCAGTAGTAGTGAATGTGGCCAGGAGTGTCTAAGAGTTGAGAACAGTTTCTCTGAGAAGACCATCCTTGTTTGGATTTTAAGGACTTGAACCTAAGGAGCATCCTTTTGTTAGCTGGCTCCATAAAATTACGTTGACTTCCCTTGGCCACTGAGATCTGATTCTCTTTGTCTTCTACAGCTTGGAATTGCAATTGGATTCTTGCTCCCTCCTGTTTTGGTTCCCAACATTGAAGACCAGGACAAGCTTGCCTACCACATCAGCATCATGTTCTACATCATTGGAGGGGTGGCCACTCTGCTTTTCATCCTTGTCATCATTGGTAAGGTCACTGATGGACTGGAGTGGGGAGGGGAAAGGAAGAGTCCATTGATTTAGGTGGGGCACTTGGGAACATGGCCCTAAGATGCTGTGGGCATTTGCAGAAACCAGAGGCTGGGTTTCTAATGGTGTTTACATTGTTTATCCTGAACATGTTAGTATAGTAGTAGATGGTCCTATGCACTTTATTAGGGACTCAGTAAATGTTTTCATTATATTAAATCTGTTGCCTAAACCCATCTCATTGGAATGAATGAGTCAACTACTAATTCTCCTGAGAAAACCCCAGTGAGTATTTGAGATATCACAGAGTGTTCCTTGAAGACAAGGATGGCGAATCTTCTTCTCACACACTTTGGGCATGTTGTTAGGAGAGGCTGCACTTTGGAGAGAGAGATCATGCTTGGAAACGTGGAGGGTCAGCAAAAGAGAGAAAGACCCTTAGGAAAATGGATTGATAGTGTCTGCAGCAGTGAGCTCAGGTTTGTCTGGGAAGATGAGGATGACACAGGCTAAGACAGGATTCAGGTCTGTTGCTCATTGAGTCTTCAGAAGTTGAACTCTCTCTACTCCGCAGCACTTAACAACAAACATACTAAGCAAGGCCAAACCCATTTAACACCTTTATGAATTGAGGACATTACTATCAGTCTCATTTGACAAAGAGGGAAATCAGGCTGACTGGAAGTTAATTCCGTTCCTAACTCAAGATTAGATAGCTTGTAGATGGAAAAAGATTGGATTCAAACCTAAGCTGTTCTAACTCCATATCTTTTAATTGACAGTGGAATGATTTTACCCCCAATGCCACCAGGGATTCTAACTCCATATCTTAAATTTCTGAAAACAAAAATAGAACTTGATCCATAAACAATAATAATCTCATATTTTCTTGAGACTACTTTAGGATGACATATTTAATACTTTTAAAAATTATTCTTTTTTTGTTATTTTTAATTATTAGAGTACAATAGTATTCCTTGCTGCATTATTTATAGTAGCCAAATAGTGGAAATAACCCAGGTATCCATCAGCAGAGAAATGAATAAGAAACTGTGGCGATTGTTTTGTTAAGTGCTGACAAATCGACTACGACCCATAGTGATTCTCTGAACAACAGATACAAATCTTACCCTATCATGAGCCAGCCTCCAGATCTCTGCTATAATCAAGCTGATTGTAGTGGTTACCACATTAATCCATCTCACTGAGGGTCTTCCTCTTGTTAACTGACCCTGTGCTTTTTCAATCCTGCTGTGTTTTTCCGAGAATGGGTGCCTGCTGACAACTTGCCCAAAGTAGATGAGCTGGTTTCACCATCCTTACCTCTAAGGAGCACCCTGACTGCTTCCTCCAAGACAGATTTGTTTGGTCTTTTGACAGTCAGTCTTTGCCAACTCCAAATCAAAGCATCAATTACTCTTCAGTCTTCCTTATTCACTGTCCAACTTTCACATGCTTATGCGGTGATGAAAAATACCATGGAGAAGACACATATACAAGGAAAATGTGGTATATCTGTGGAATGGAATATTACTCACCCATAAAGAGAAGTGAAGTTCTGATACATGGCGTAGATGAAGCCTGAAAACACTAGGCTGTGTGAAATCAGTCAAATCCAAAAGGGCAAATACTGTATGATCTCACTTAGATGAAATATCTATACTAGGAAATGCAACCGAGACAAAGATTTATCAGTGGTTGCCAGGGAGTAATTAGACTTTGTCTGCAGTCTGTCACAGTTTGAGCCTTAGACTAAGGGAATTTTTTCTTCCCATTCTCCTTCCTCGTCTCTTTCTAATAGAAGACTATTTAGGCTTTGTTAGTTCTGGGTCTTCAAAGAAAGGAACATAAAAGCAGCTGATAGGGCTTTAGATTTCATACCAAGATAAATGTAAGACACTCTGAAAATACACTTTATGTGTAAAATGACTGGGTGAATTATTATTTCTACTTGAGCAATGAGATGTGGTAGTAGCTACTGACGGTATGGTGCCAGGAGAAGGGAGGGAAAGGGGAACTGGTACTTTATTGTTGAAGTTGTTGTTCGGTGCTGTCGAGTATGACTGAAAGTGACCCTATGAACAACAGATCTGAACCCTGTCCAAAGCTGGGCCTTCCTCATCATCTCAGACACACTCGAGCCCATTGCTGAAGTCACTGTGTCAATCCACTTTTGAGGGTCTTCCTCTCTTTCATCGACTTTCCACCTTTCCAAGCATTATGTAGCCTCTCCTAGCAACATGCCCAAAGTATGTGAGATGAAGCTTTGTCATCTTTGCCTCCAAGGAGCATTCTGGCTGTCCTTTTCCCAAGACATACCTGTTTGCTCTTTTAGCAGTCCAAAATATATTCAGTACTCTTCTCTAGCACCACAGCTCAAATTCATCAATTCTTCTTCTGTCGTCCTTATTCATTGTGCAGCTCTCAGATGCATAGCAGGTGAATGAAACGACAATAGATTGAATCAGGCACCCCTTTTCCCTCAAAATGACACCCTTGCACCTCCATAATTTAGAGAAGTCCTTGACTGCACATTTCCCCAGTACAATACGTCTTCTGATCTCCTGGCTGCGGTTTCCAAGGGTGTTGATTGAGGATCCCAGTAAGATTAAGTCATTGACAGTTTCAGCCTTTTCGCCATCTGTCATGATGTTGTCTATTGGTTAGCATTGTTCAAGAGGTCCTGGGTTTCTGTTGGATGATAAAGTATGTAAAGATCTTTCTCTCTGTCCTGACTCATAGCTGACCCTCCAGTGAGTTTTCAGAGGCTGTAAACTGCATAGGAGGAGATGACCCATCTTTCTCCTGTGGAGCAGCTAGTGGATTTGAACCACCTGCCTTTGGGCTGGTAGTGTAACTCCTCGGAGCCATAAGAGCCCCATATACAGGGATAGATATTTTGGAAATGGATCGTGATGCCAGTTAATACAATTTGGTAAATATGAATAACATCACTCAATAATATACTTAAAAGTGATTGAAATAGCAAATTTTTATAAGATATATTTTCCTTACAATAAAGAATAATAATTTATTTTGGCAAAATTTAGAAAACACAAAAAAAGAATGCCCACAAATGTAACTAGTCTGTGCAAGTTAATCCAGATGACCAACCTCAGATTACTATGATTTAGCTTATATGTTTGTGTAGTTCATTATTGAGATATTATATTTTATAACTGCTGTCACTTTATAGCCTCATTTTTTTCACCTGAATGATGTTATGTGGACCAGGATACCTTAAGAAATAGCAAAGGAGAGATTTCCATTTTCAGTTAGTCACCTGTCTAAAGGTTAACTAGCTTTCTTCTTCACATTTGGAAGTTCCATCTCACATGGTAAAGGTTTCATTCCTGCTGTGGGCCTCACCCTCAGAGCCAAATGGTTCTATAATCGTGTAACTCATTCAACCACTTGACCTCCCTAGAGTCCAAGGTGAAGAAGGGCTGCCTGATGGCTTTTAAAAGTTGGCAGAGTGCCTTGGAAAGAGGCCTTGGTGTTCTTGGAGAGGCAAGATGCTTATCAAGCTGGCACCTGTCGCTATGCCCTGTGGATAAGATCAGGAAAGAATGATAAGATCAGGGACCCTTTTATTTGTTGTTTGGTGCCATTGAGTTGATTCCAATGCCTAACAACCCCTGCACAACAGAATGTAACATTGCCTGGTCCTGCCCTACTCTCAGAAGTGGAGCCATGGTCAAGCCCATTGCTACAGCCACTGGTCTATCCGTCTGATTGGCTGTCTTCTTTTTTCCCATTGACCTTCTCTGTGATATAGCACAACATTCTTCTCCAAGGACTGTAGCTTCCTGTTACTATTGAGACAAAGTCTCAATATTCTTATCTGGAACATTTTGGCTCTTCTTCTAGGATAGCCTTGTTCAGGTGCTCTTTAGAGACAAGGATTGTGACTTTTTATCTCCTATACTTTGGGCATATTGTCAGGAGAGACCGCTCCTTAGAAAAAGGCACCATTCTGGGAAAGGTGGAAGGTCATAGAGAAAGAGGAAAACCCTAAACAAGATCAATTTGCCTGTAACAGGGGGTTGGAGTATATCAGAGATCAGAAGGATGGTGTGGGAAAGACCAAGGTTGAGATTTATGTTTATATAATAAGCACAACCGAGTGTTCTGGGATCCCTGTGCTTCTCAAGGTTAGCCACAATTTGTTGTGATCCACATAATCAAATGCCTTTGAAAAGTCAATGAAACATAGGTAGACATTTCTCTGGTATGCTCTGCTTTCAGCCAAGGTTCATTTAACATTGGCCATAATGTCCTTAGTGCCATGACCTCTTCTAAACCCAGCCTACAAATCTGGCAGTTCTCTGTTGATGTACTGTTCCAGTCATTTTTGGATCATTTTCAGCAGGATCTTGCTTGCATGTGATGGTAGTGATTTTGTTCAATAATTTCCACACACTGATGGGTCACATTTTTTTGAAATGGGAATAAATACAGGTCTCTTCCAATCAGTTGGCCAGACTTCTTGGTGTAGCCTGGTGAGTGCATCCAGGGCTGCATCTGTTTGGTGAAAAGTGTCAACTGGTATTCCATCAATTCCTAGGGCCTTGTTTTTTGCCAATTCTTTCAGAGCAGTTTGAGCTTTCTCCTTCATCCCCATTGCCTATTGATCGTATGTTGTTTTGTGAAATAATTCTGTGTCAACCAATTCTTCATGGTATAGTGCCTTGTGTACTCCTTCCATCTTCTTTGGATGCTTCATGGATCATTCAGTATTCTACCCACAGCATCCTTAAGTACTGCAGCTTGAGGCTTAAACTTGTTCTTCAGTTTCTTCAACTTAAGAAATGTCAAGTGAGTTTGCCCTTTTTTATTTTCCAACTGAACCTCTTTGCAAATTTCATTATAATACTTTGCTTTGTCTTCCAAAGCTGCCCTTTGAAATCTTCTGTTCAGCTTCATAACTTCTTGATTTTTTTCTTTTGCTTTGGTTTCTCAGAACTCTGTTGTAATATTCAGAATCTCTTCTGATGT